TCTCTCTCTCTCTCTGTGTGTGTGTGTGTGTGTGTGTGTGTGTGTGTGTGTGTGTGTGTGTGTGTGTGAGTGCGCAGGATGCGACTCTCCCAGACCTCACTCTCATGCTAAGCTATGGTGCAGCGCATCATATATCTTAGTGTTGGCTACTCTCGCTATCACTCTCACTCTTGTTCTCTGTCTGCCTTCTTCCACTGCTAACACTGCACCCTCATGTGTGTGTGTGTGTGTGTGTGTGTGTGTGTGTGTGTGTGTATGTGAGTGCGCGGGATGCGACTCTCCCAGACCTCACTCTCATGCTAAGCTATGGTGCAGTGCATCATATATCCTAGCGTTGGCTTCTCTCGCTATCACTCTCTCTCTTGTTCTCTGTCTGCCTTCTTCCACTGCTAACACTGCACCCTCAAAATAGCGCAAGGCAGAATGAACACAGGACTTGGGGGCAGGCCGAGTATTTATAGTCTTTACTTGGTCTGGCCTGCTTCCAGTTGCCTCCCCTTGTGGCTGTGATTTCCCGAGCTGTTCTGCGAAGATTTCCTCGCAGCCAGTGTGTTCCTGCTTGAAACTGCACTGAGCCTGTGGCTGTGGTTGCCATCTGAGGAATTGTTGACTCTTTGGCTCGTGTCCTTGTTGGGCCTCACTGTTGACTTTCCGAGGCGTGCTTTCACTTCTGGACGCCCTGGTTGCCTCTTTTTGACTGTTGACCTGCGGCCTGACAACCTAAAGATTTTCTGGAACCTCTTGGCTGTAGATGAACTTGTGGACCTAGAATTTTACTCGGTCAAAATCGATGATTCCACAACTTCTGTGCTGATTTTGTTCTCCGTTCTTTGCATGGGAACCACATCCGTGATCTGCCGGATTTTGCCACGGTCCTTGATGGGCATCATATGTTCATATGAGACGGAAAGTTGGTGCATGATAATGGCGCCCTAGACACAGAAAGCAAGAAGTATGATAATTGGCACCTACGCAAAGGGATTCCAAATGTAGAGGCATTGTGGATTGAGGCATGGCCCTCTCCTATGGGGGACCTGGGACATGTCTGCAAGGATGGGCATGGACCTGCCTGTAACAACATCACAAGTCAATCTAAAAATTGCACTCTTTCACTCCAGAACAAAAGGTGAGATTAAAACCAAAGCTGTGAGATATGGAACTTGTGTTATCTTGCAATCACCTGAGCCCACTCCTTGTACAGGCAAGTGCTAACTTCTGCCTCTGCCACGTAGGAACAAGTACAACTCGCTGGGCGGCTATGGCCTCCAACCCAAAGAACTAGAAGATGAGCACTCTTACTTCAATACGCAGGCCTCTCTCTCTCTCTATCTATCCGAATGCCTTCTGTCTCCTTGCTATGGTGCACTTACAGCTGTCGCGCCAGTGCTTGTTGACTACTCATCCCCGGTTTCTTTCTCAACCAGCCTCGCTTGTCGCTTGGTCGCACTACTGTGCAGCAGCTCTTCTACGGCGAATGAATAACGACGGCAACAGCTGCTGTGCTTTTGTATGCGACATTTCTAATTTCAGCATTTGGACTTGCAGACCCGACTGACCCTGTACCCTGCGGGCTTGCGCCTCTTGGCCTTTGATATTCCATAATATTTGCTGGCCTACCTGGGACCATAGGACTAGGCTGGACTGAACTGGACCGAACTAGCCTTCTAGATCCCGTGCTAGCCGAGCTGTATCTGGGGCCAAACTGACTGAACTACCCGACCCTAGGCTAATCTCAATAGGACCTCCTGAACTCGACTTGGGACTGATAGTATGAGCACTGTCAGTTGCGGACTTGCAGTCCCTGGAATAATCTTAGTGCTGAATCTGTTGATGTCCATGTCACCTTGTGGATGCATGCCATCTGATTGTGAAATTGTGAATGCTATGTCCAACTCTCAAACCAAGTCCTGTGAAAACAAATTTCTTTTTTTTTCTTTTTCTTTTTATTTGGACCATTTCTTGATTTATGCGTGTCATCCTTGCGCAGGGGCCATGCTAATCTTCTCTGTATCATTCCAATTTTAACGGATGTCCCGAAGGACAGTGAAAACAAATTTCTAATTTTAATAATTTAGTAATTTACTGTGTTAGTCCCCGGGCGGCCCGGCTGGGGGAAGGTCGCCCGGGTACCCTCCCGGGCGACCCGGGCCGGGCAGGGCGCGGGCAGGGTCCCGGGCGATCCCAGCGCATAATATTCAAAAAAATAGAAAAAAAAAAAATTCAAAAAATTCCGAAAAAAACATATGCTGTGTAAAAGTGCAATACTAACGACTTTTGGCTCAGGGCCACCTCGAAATTCCTTGTTAATTTCAAGATAAAATAAATGAGAAAATATGAGTCCCAAAAGACTCCAAATGTACCCTTTTAAGCCCTTTAGTCACTGTTTATACCCCCCAACCCCCCCTGGATGACCCATCACCAAAACCAAAGCTAAGACCGGATTCTGACTGCTTGGGCCAAGCGCAGTCCTGGCCTGAAGTCTATTTTTTTTTTTGGGATCCTTGCCTCTTTTTTGACCCGTCTGGTTTTGCCGGGCGAACCCCTTCTGCCCAACTGGCCCGGGCGTGCCTGGCCGGGCGTGCCGGGCCGGGCGTGCCGGGCCGGGCGACGGCCCAACATAGGTAATTTAGTAAATTGCGCCTTATTGGCCGGCGCTTCTTCATTCATGGAGGAAAATAATTCCTAACAAAACCAACAGACCGAGATCCAAGGATGAAGTACTAAGACAACCGCTCTTTGGGAATGAATGGTTAACAAACGAGGCGGGTAAGACAACCGCTCTTTGGGAATGAATGGTTAACAAACGAGGCGGATAACCCCCTCTTCCTTGAGCAGAGGTGGTTATCGTGGATCAAGAATGGCATATGGAAGATTGACCACTTATGGAAGGAGGACAGAAAAGACTGGATAACAGAACAAGAAATCAGCATCTGACTTAAAGGCTGTCACAAAAGAGGAACCAACCTCCAGTATCTCCTCAGTCGTATTCCACAGGAATGGAAAGACATCTTGCAAAAAGATGAATTGTGGAGACCCGGCGAGTGGGGTCTTATGATCCAAGACACAACCCCCTCCAGAGCCTATCAATTCTCCCACATGCAACATGGCTCACACACCAGGGCCACCTTCCTCTCCTTTCCAATCTGCGGCTTCAATAACAATATGCCTACCATCTTGAACTGCGAAGTAGAGTCATCCGTTCTAGACTCCTTCCTCCTCAGGAAAGTAAGAACTCTGGGTACATGGCCAAAGTCAATCTTTAGACCAGACACAGCAGTCCGGTTCCTGGAGTTTGACCCGGCTGAATGGGTTTGGTTACCCAATACTACTAGGAATATCAAGACAAAAATCCCAATCCAGGATTACACAGTTAAACTTGGCTACAAACTAACTCTGAAAACAAAAGACCCTGACCCGATCATCAAAAACAGATGGAGGAACTTAGTAGGCCAGGAAGCAGACAAAATCACTCAAATCCACTGGGAAAAATTTAAACGCATCAGACCTGTCAAGATCAGAAGTTTGCAATGGCTAATTGTTTATGTAGCACTACTGGTAAACCAATGGCTACACACCAGACGGAAAGCCTCAGACCCAGATAGTTCAGAGCAATGTACAGTCTGCAATGAAGGAGCGATAGAAGATATTGTTCACTGCCTAGTCTGATGTAGAGAAGCAACCGAATACTGGACGAGAGCCTTATCACTCTGGGAATCCCTCTTCTCATCGCCCTTTCCCAACCACCCCATCCAACTTCTCCTCTTAACTAACATCCCTGTCCAAGCACAGAATGCAGAGAGGATCTGGTTCGAACTCATCAGGAAAGTGACCCTTTGGGTCATATGGAAGGAGAGATGCAGCAGAACAATTGAAGGACACTCCAATCCAAGGGAGAAGGTATGGACAGAAACCAGAACAATGATTCAAGCTGAGATTCTTTGCAGATGGCGGAAGGTTAAACAAAGGGGGATAGAAGATGAAGAACAGCGGAAGAAGGAGAGGCTGAAATTTTGCAAAGATTGGCTGGTAAATGGCAAGATTGCAGAATTGCGAGAAGACCGGCTTTGCTGGAAGGGATGGCACAACTCAAATTCGGAAAGGGCCTCTCAACAACAGGCAACGTCTGAAGACCTAATCGCTTTGTAAGATGTTAGGTACCAAGCAAGGACAATGATGTACCGGGAAAGAAAGGAGGACAATGTTGGAGGTCACGTAGAGACTGCCATTCTCGGCCAACTTCCTAAACGGTCCATTGTAGGGCAGGCGCCCAGGCGGAGGGTTTAGGGTTTAAGGCTGGCCGACAGTACACCCAAAGGGTCAGGAAGGCGGTGAGAAAGGAAACAGGTTGACTAGAGTATTGGAGGGACTCTTTCTAGATACAATGATGATATCTGACAGATCTGAACATCGGGTCTGAGAGGAGAGAGAGGGATAGGGCAAGCTGACAGTCAATCCTCCACCACAATGGAGTAATCAATGCTGATCAGGGGTCCTTCGGCCAGACGGAAGGAAGCGTGTGTGAGTTTCCATTGATGTAAAATTTTCTACGACTTGCCGGTGGAAAAGGAACCGGACTGACGCTCCCCAGGATAGAAGGAGTCAGGACCCTAAGGCCCTGTTAAAAAAAAAAAAGTAATTTAGTAAATTTACTAATATAGTGTGGCATTAAGTAATGTTAGTTTTCATGTTGTCCATCTGGCTTCTGGATGTATCCCATCTGCTTATGACATTGTCAATTCTATGTCCAAATTTCAAGCCAAGTCCTGTGAATGTTATATCCAAAGACTCCAAAGTTGAATTGGAGTCACCGAAGTCCTGAGTAAGTCTTGCACCTGTGTTCTTAACATCGTCATTGTCCTGTTGTCCTTAGTTCATCCCAACAGATTTCTACTTGCGTGAAGGGAGGACTGAACCGCCGCATTTACTTACAGAATCTGAGCTTATTGGGCTCATGGATAAGGTGGGCTCACTCACCATAACCTGATTATTGAGAGTGCGGCAAGCACATTGCACGTCACCCTTGGTTTGCATTTTCCTGTTGGAATTATTGCCAATTTGACACATTGTGATTATCCAGATCTGGTTGGGACCTCGTTGACCAAGTGGTGGCCTCGTACAATTCTTCCTGTTCTAATGTTATCCATACTTGCGGCGCACTTCTGCGGTGCGCCGTGCGGTGCGCGTGTGCCATGCGCCATGCGCAAATTAGTGATGTGGCGTGTGTATGCAGGGGGGGGGGGGGGGGGGGGGGGGNGGGGGGGGAGAGAGAGAGAGAGAGAGAGAGAGAGAGAGAGAGAGAGAGAGAGAGAGAGAGAGAGCAGCGGATCCCCTTAGCTCGGCTCGGAGGGCCCATGCAGGCAATCTGAAGGGTCCTCACAGCAATGTAGCGCAGACCCTCCACCTAAATCGAGGCAGGCAGTGAATATGAAGTAGAGCACGTCCTGGCCGAATATATACTCAGGAGTCAGGATTCCAATTCAGGTCTGTGTTTCGGCAGTTATGGGTTGCTCACGTAGCTAGGCCCTGTTGGTCTCTGCATGTGATTCTCAGGGCTTGGCTACACTATTCTCGAAATGTGCAAAATTCGAATGAATCTTCTGCAGAATGTGGAATAATACGCCGCCATATGTTTTGTCTTTTGTGCATGTGGTGAGTAGAGGCCCTTAGGGCCACTGCACGTATTCCTAAGAATGAGAGAAGAATATAAGCTTACCTTTATAAAAATAAGGAAAAACGAGAAAAGAAAAGAAAAACGAGAAAAGAGAGAAGTAGTGAGCCATGACCGAGATGCACAGACCTGAATTCGAATCCAGACTACATATTCTCTGCCCACGCTTAGAAGTGGAAGTTTGAAGTGTACCTCTGCTGCACGCGGGGTCCTAGACAATTTGCTGCAGGGGCCCTTCGGAAAAGAGGCTGGACACAATCAGGACATGAATACCCACATGCACAGACATGTGCCCACAGTTTTGGGGTATGGCGTGGCCCCAAGTTTTCTCCCTCTTGCTTTCTGATTTTTAGAAGCGAGGGGAATGCCACCCCACACTGTCCTTTCAATTTTTTTTATTTTTATTTTTTTTGTGATGTGCTGCACGCGCGCGCGCTCTGCGCTGCAGCCGCTGCATGTGCTGTGCCCCTGTGCACGGGATGCGCCGCAAGTATGATATTATCTCCAAATCAATGTAGAATTTTGAGTGCACGTGCATCCAGAAGCTGCTTGAAAATTGTTTGGCAAGTTGCAACTCCACTTGACATTTCAACAAGTTAAAATCCAGAAAAATCTGTTGTTTATCCCAGATGGCCGAGCGGTGTATGGCATCCAGGCCTGCCGGTCTCTGTCATCGTCGTCCCAATGTCCAGCTGCCAACCTGCATGTTTGGATAGTTCCACGCAATATGAACACTGGCTAGGGCATGCCACATGCGCGGCTTAATGGCTACCATCTTCACAATGCTTTTCAGGACTTTCGGGATTCTCCTGGCTTCCCTCCCCAAACAAAGCAATCTCTAGGACTACAATGAGCAACAGATTTCAGACACAAATCTTGACCAAAAGGAAAACACGGCAAATTTCAGTGTTTGGGTGGTTAGGCTTAGAGTGGGTTCCCCGTTAACCACTTGTGAGTCTAGCAGCGGGGTACTGATATTCTCTTGATCATTTGTGCAGGCTGGAATAGGCACAGATGCCACTATGCATGATCACATCAAGAAACTGATTGACAGATGGTTTGCAACAAAAGATGAGAGGCAACAGTTCACTCCAACCCCACTGGTAAGCCTATTTGTTCAGAGTACACAGTTTTACGAACATTAGGGCAGCAAGAGCTTCTTTCCTATCACGCTACTTCTCTTCCCGCCGCAGCCCCCCCCCCCCCCCCCCCCCCCCCCCCCCCCCCCCCCCCCCCCCCCCCCCCCCCCCCTCCCCCCCCCCGCCTCGTGCCCCTGCATAACTCAAACCAACCTTGTGGCTATGACCTCCTTTTGTAAGGAAAATGAGCAATAGCGAGATGACAATGACCAGCATACACAATCACATTGAAGGCCTGATAGTATCACTGTGTCCAGAAAGCAGAAATGCACCAATATAACACCAATGAAGAATCGAAACTCTGAAAACCAATGTCAATGAGAGATTACTCTCGCCACCACCAACATGAGTGTCCAGGCCCTACCTTCCTACTTGGCGCTCGGTGCCAGCCTACTATCTACACAGGTACTCTCTGCCTACTAATTGACAATGCAACTGTGGACGTCAGCAGCCTCCGAAGTACTTGAAGATGTCGCCATGCAGACTATCACCAATACCAGGTATGTGCCCTCACATCATCATCATCATCATCATCCTTCTCTCTCTATCTCCCTCGTCTTACTCCCACGTCTTCCCTTTGTACAACCGAAGACCACCCCTGCACCTCACTGTACATCCAAGCCCACAGCCAGCTATATAGGCTGGGCTATGACGCTGCCCTCAGCAGCGCCCTTCTTCCACACACGACCGCACGTGCGCAGCACCTTGCTCCAGCGCTAGCAGCCAGCCCGCGAGCATGAGCTCCAGCAGCGCTGCCGCCAGCCAGCAACTGCCCGAATCCCACTCCAGGCAGCGAGCTCTTTCCTATATGGAAAGAGCCTGCCTGCCTTCGCAGCCTGGCTGGCCTGGGCCTAGAAGCTTCCGGTAGGCCCCAGGATGCTGCTCCTCTGGTGCAGCTACTGGGCCTCATTCGGTTGGGCCTCCCAACTGTCTGTGTATGAGGCTGCGTATCTCGCCCAGGGCCTGCATTTTCGGAAGAGCCTAGAAGGCCTGGGAATTTCCCTCGCTGCTCGGCCTGTGTTCCTTTCAACCAACTGGCGAACGAAACTGCCTGGACCCCAAAGGGGGTTGTAGGGTTCAAGGAATATAGGATACGGATAGTAAGATAGGAACTGGGATAGATGTTTTGGCAAACTGAGATAGTACAGATTAACTTAGGTAGGGGTGAGGGGTGGTAAAACCTTTATCAGGGAAGTATTCAATGCCGTCCACTCGGGCCTCCCAGCCATAATGGGGGGAAGCGTGCATATGTTTCCTATGTATCTATTATTGACTTGGCGGGGGAAAGTAATTAAAAAAAAAAAAAAGAGGAGTTAGGCTGGTCTTCCATTGGTTCCAAGAGGGACAACAAGGGATACCCATGGGGGATCCGTTGGATACCCCGGATCTTAGGCTACCATAGAAAAGGGAGGGGGGCGTTGGAGGGTTTAGGGTTTAGTCAGACTCTTGAGGTAGGACTTAGTGTTGGAGGGTTTACGGTTTAGGGTTTAGTCAGCTCGTATGGCAGGGTTTAGGGATTAGGGGCTGGGGCTTACACAAAGTCAAGGTAAGCGAAGATCAGAATGATAGAGATTCTAAAGGGTCATGTGGCGATGAAGAAAAAAAGAAAAAAAAAAGAGGAAAGACTGGCACAACTCAGAAGCAGGGAGGAGAAGGCAGAGTTCCCAGCCAGCAGAAGGACTAGCTTCGTCACAGGTCACGTAATGTTGGAGGGCGTAATCTGATTTTGCATCTTCAGTGGATTCTTTTACCTTTCTTGCTTTTATCATTTATCTGACAGGTCATACAGTAGACCTGAGAGGAAAGGAGGAAGTAAGGCAAGCTGACAGTCAATCCTCCACGTTGTCGGAGTAATCAATGCTGGTCAGGGATCCTTCGGCCGGACGGAAGGAAGCGTCACGGTGAGTGGGTTTCATGATGTAATGTTTTATTCTGACTTGCCGGTGGAATAGGAACCGGACTGTGATGCTCCCCAGAATGGAAATGGTCCCGGGCCCATAAGGACCTGTTATACAAAAAAAAAAA